GTCACTGCATCATTACATGCATTCCTGTAATGTCAAAGACCTTTAGATTACAAACTTCGTGTGCAATTACAATGTATGCTACGTCATGTAGTCAATGTTTATTACTGTATCGTTAAATTTATCTCGGTATTATATTGTAAAGTATATGTGTATTACAGTGAGTAATTTTAATATATATTAAATCGGGTAATCAAACATAATGATAAATGGTTAAATTTAATATAATTACCAATAATACATATATATATTATTGAATGTATTTTCATAGTGTTTTAATTTTATTGTTATTGTTATTTTTCCAATTGTTTTCATTCAATGTGCCTTGTTTTGTAAACCTTTAACATTATTTTAAGTGAATCAAATATTTCTCAATATAAAAAAATCGACTAATCACCATTGTCTATACGTAGTCTGTCACATATGATATACATGTTTAGGCAGTCCCACGTAGCAGCCACCGAATTATTGTTTATATTTTTTTGTATTAGACAATAAAACTATAAGGCCTCGGCTGTCGATGTTGATAACACTTTTCTTTGTGAGTCCGGAGCTTATTGAAAACTGTGGAAATGAGTTGATCCATTTGATGGTGATGTGGCACACAATTCAGTCCGTCCGGTGACGAACAGCCATTTGTCATGTGGTGACGCATGTTCAAATTGTCAATACATCTATTATCTACACTTCGAAAACTTACAGTGATTGTCTATTCATTGAAATCTCATAGAAGTGTTAATAATAATAGGATCTGTATTCATATCTATATATGGCTTGTTGAGTCCTTTTCAAATTTCATTTTAAATTCGGAATTTGACCTTATTTTTAACTAATTCGCACATCAAGTTTTCGACTCGGTGGCGATCAAGAGGGATTACAACTTCCGGTGAGGAAACATTAGGTTTTGTGCAACACGAAAGCCATTGACTACAAAGCACACAAATATTCCTCATACACAGATAGCTATCGAAACCTCGTTGAAAACAAAACTTGCATTTGTCCTTCAAATAGTTCTCCATCCTCGAGTCCTACGTACATGGATTCTTTTACAATATGTTTTGAAAAGTTATCTGACAACGTCTGGTCACAGCTGCACATTGTGTTTTCATTGTATTGCATCCTTAAAGTTCATATGTTAATATATTTGTATTGCACGTGTTGGCAATTATTAGTGCCATAATAACCAACGCTTCAGATAATAATTACTGATACTAAAGCAAATATTTTGCTTAGTAATTTTGTTCGATACCCCGTGTTCCGTATTTAGAAATATTATTATACACTTCCTCAGCGGGACACAAAGTAATATTAGTTACGAAAAATATATTTACGCTTATACAATTCGCATTAATTATAACACACATCGGAGGTTAGACCTTTGTGATGTCTGCCTGTCTTGCTGTACTTGTTTACATACAAGACATAAACACGCATTTACAGGATCAGCAGCTTCCATAAAAAATAGGATCGTCAGTTAGATAGTTTGCCGTCACGTATACTGGTTATTTTATAAGCTATCATTTTATTTAAACACAGAAAGCTCCATACAACGTAATAAAAATCCCGGCAATCTGATTGGGCCATGCAAGCAGATTGACCTTTTGACACCATGGCTGATTATCGCACAATAGAATATTATCTCAGGGTGCTGGTGGTTTTACACAATATTAAAAATTATATTAATCTGATTGTTCGAGATATTGGCTAATGCCGCATATAAGGGAGACCATTTCAAACAAAAATTTGACTTCGCAATTAGTAATTATGTTTACCAATGCATTTTCAAAACCGTAAATATTGTAATGTCTTCATAAATTGAGGGTAAACTGGTGGTAAATCGGCGTTATTGCACGGCAAACGCTCTATGATAGAATATCACAAGTACTGTACTAGTATATACACCTGGGAATAACTGTAAATCAAAGTCATGACCCTACAATATCAGCTTTAAATTATTGAACATTTGTACTATAAGGGTCACTCGGTATCCTCTATTCGACCTGATATTTGTTACTTTTGCTCGTTCTTTGAAACGAGACGGAACGGGTAGGACGGGACGGGATTGGGTTGCACGGAAATTGCAAAAACACTGACTGCACGAGAATATGATTGGAATATATACTTTTAAATAAATGACTTTCTAATAAGAATAATTCTCTGGAAATATTTATTTATTAATCAATTAATTATTTGAATATTCTGCATGCTAAGAAATGTGATAATAGATATATACATTTCACAAATTTGGACAAGGATTCATGATCGGTATACAGTATGAATGTAATATTTTCACAACTATTATGAATCTATGTTTCAATGAATGCATCTTATATATAGTTACGGGTTCGAATTCACAAGACCGGCGACTGATATAACTCCGGACGATATGCATTCTGTCTTAGCTGTGCAAAAAAATATTAATGTGTCACTTAGTCAGTATTGTTAAGTCCCGTTTACCTATGAGCTGAATTCAAGGCACCCACCCTATTAAAGTGTCACACTTTAAATGCCAATGCTTTTTTTCATCTAAGCTGTTTTCACTATTTGTTTCCCTATAAATATAACTGCTATGTCTGCAAAAAGATCACATAACAAAGCAATGTGTTTTTTAATGTTTATATTGTAATAATTACATATCAACCGTCGGCTATTCATAGCATTGCGTAGTCAACTGAAACAAAAAAAAATGCACCAAATAGTCAACTGTTCAAACAGGGAAGAACTAATGTATATTTGCGATCAACCCTTTATCTTCCCAGGGTTCAATACACCTGTTCTATACATCGCGCCCTCTAGTGACGGACGCTTCAGTGACGTCAAAATGACGTAAATGGGTAACGGTCAAGGTCGTTCAAATCGACAACTATGTTTGGTTGTGTCGTCGTTAGTCTTTTAACATATTCCAAAACAATAATATATCTTCATTGGTGGGCTACAGATCAAAACAATACCCGAGTCGACTCCTTGAACGGTCTTCGTGCCACCCATTAACCTCATCCTAGCGTTTCGTAGAAGGACGTGTTTTGATTAGAACACAGTAAAAAGAGTACTGCACAGAAAATTGACCCATGGCGTTAAACACAAACCACTTCCTAATTCACGCCAACGGCTGTGTGTGATGTTAGATGGCGAGGAGAACCCATTAAGCCTACCGACAGCGATCGATGAACACCACAGTTAAACTAACTCGCGATATGGAAATGTGAAATATTTCTGTAAATTAAACTTTTCACGTTTGGAACATCTATTTTCTGAACACGAAAAATATCTAGGATTTCTATTTTAGTTTCTTGTGAAGTGCACGAGGTATGACATGTTTGAAATTGATTTGAAATTGATTTGAAAATGTTATATTCATATATTCAATCAACATTTACGCAAGTCTTAGTAAATGCGCTATTTGTTTTCAAATATTGGCGAGAACATGATATTAATTGATGATAAACAGCGGATGATTCTGGTTTCCGTTTTTAGAAACATAAATTGCAGTTGAAAGCAAAATATAAAGTCAATCGTACAACCACCTGTTACCAAAGATCCGTCATCATGACTTTGAATTTGAGCAGCGACGATGTATGTCCTATTTGGACGGGAATTAAAAAGCAGCGGCTTTAAATATGCAAAATAACAACCAAAACGCGAGCCGCAGTAATAGCATTAATCACAGTCATTGCCACGCATCGTCAGCATGAATCAGCCCATCGCTGATGAGCTGGTCTTTAATCAAGTCAAATCGCCGCTTAACAAAATAATAAAATTCATATTCCAAGCTGAGACGTTCTTTCATTATTGCTTTAACATTTTCCGAAGGTTCCTTTCGCTGTACGGATTTGTAAGACTCCACGAGCCCCTTTTCTTGCGTCTGCTGATATGCCTCGGGGGCCCCTTGAAAGAACTGCGGTAGTATCTGCTCCAGAATGAGTAACGATGTCGTGAATTCCTCTAACACGCCAACAAAGATGAAATGTTTCAATACGTTTTGTTTAGCGGTTTCCAGTGCATATCGGGTTGGCTCGTAACATCCGGGGTCTTGGCCACAGAAGTAAGGGATGATGGCAAATGTGTTAGTGATATTGCATTCTGGGTGATTTTTTAAAACACAATCGTCGAATGTAAGATCCACGTTGCGCCCACTTGTATCACGTACCGACATACCGTCCCCAAACCGTGTATAGTAGAAAAATGACACCGTCCTGTTTAACGGATCTCTAATTTGATTAATCCAATACGGTTGATCGACGCCATAGCGGGCGAAATCGACAAAATTCACGTGGCGGTTGTATATAAAGGGAGGGTCATACGAGTCCACTTCAAAGGCAAATTCCGCCTGCTCGTGCTCAAGTAATTTTTTCTGGGTGAAAATTTTACTTTTAACGTGTGGGTATGACATTTTTTTCGATAGTAAATCAATCGTGTGAATAAGACTCCTGCTACCGCATTTACCAACTCTGTTGAACACCATTCGTGTTATGTTTCTGGTAAATCGTAAATCTAGGGGGAGACCGTCACTTGCATCGACAAGACTCTGTTTCAAATGCGTATTTTTCTCCTCTGTAGTTTCCGGATCCGGTTCAGCAGCGCGTGGGTCGAGTGGTTTCATTTTCACGTCGATCTTGACGTCGAAAGTTGAGGACAGATACGATATGAACATAAACGACACGGCAGCTGTGATAATGAGTCGCCAGGATACATAATACCCTCGGATCCGCAACATTTTTTCCCCCACCAATATCAACAATAAATCACACAAAAATACAATCTTTCGGAAGGACACTTAAGCACACCAGTTACCATGTGTACATTGTAAGACCTGTGAACGACAAACATGGTGAAAGCTATTAAAACGAAAGGCACAAGTGACAACACAAAATACACACCATTTAATAAAATTGACCCTTATTAATATCGTACATTGAACACTCTCAGCGCAACAAAGGCATTCCCGCCGCCTTTATAAATATTTATAAATTTCACAAGAAGGCCATTGAATAACGTTTTCTATGACGTTGTTTCGCGCTGAGCTCGTTGATTGGTTGAATTTAATTGCCACAGAAATGTATAAATATTTACAAAAAATTAAGGGAATGAGTTAAAAATAAGGAATTGATTTCGCAAAGGTAGTTTGTGGTAACGGAAATTTCAAGTGGACTTAAATTCTAGTATGTATACGTTGTTTACATACTTTTGAGCTAAAACGTGCATGTTATGGACAGTTGTCTCAAAAAGTCGAATCGTACAACATAGTAAATAATGTATTCGTGCTATATCCCAAATATTTTTTTTTCGATTTTTCGACTGTTATGCATATTATTAGCAAGACATAAACCCTTAGAACAC